ACAACTTTAAACAACTTAAATATCAATATACATCATCCTAGATCAGTCCATGAGGAATTAAAGTCATATAACAACATATATAAATCATGTGAGTAATTCAATATACTAATCACATGTTCAACACTTAGTTAAATAAACAACAATATTTCATTCAACAATCCAAGTTGATGTCATTCTCTCAACGTTCAACATCTTTGAGGTAGAGATCCGCTAGCTCACTTACACCCAATGCCAATCCACCTGCACCCAAAGTGGATGAGGTAGAGAGCCCATATGATAATCATGCTTGATGTAGCTACTATACTCGCACCTAACACCACAAAACTCACACGTGACGTCATTTAAGCAGAGAGTTATTGACCTGATCACACCTAGCATCACTCAACTAGGGTTCAATGTCACTAAGTTAGAGAGCTCCCGAGGCAACCATGCCTGACGCCCCTCAACTTATGTCTAGCATGACCAAGTCAAAATTAATGCAAGATTCTCACCAATCAACAACATCTCAACCACAAATTAATGCAATTAGGTAATATACAACTCATACAAGTCATCAAGAATCCAAGTTATAAGTTTCTCTTATCTCTGGTCACCTATAATAGAGGAAGAAGAGAAAAATGGGAGCTTCTAGAGAACTCCACACGATCACTCCACAGTCTCAAATCTTTATGTGGCTACTCAATTTCACTCAGAGGAAGGCTCTAGATCTCTTTAGTGGACTTAGAAGAAGTAAATCCCTCTGGCTCCAAAGTTTCTTTCTTTAACCTATTTATAGTTTTCTTAAAAAATGAACTTATGAAATTCAAGTCTTAAGAAATCTTATATAATTTTCTTGAAACTTGGTCAACATTAACATCAACTCAAAAAAAAACTCCTAGACAACTATACTCATAAGAATTTCATAATTTTTAGAGTTTCACAACAATTAAACAACTAATCACAATATCCATTAAATTAATAAAATCAATAATTACTAACAAAATTCATAGTGTTACAACTTGTGCTAACAATTTGCCCCCACAATTTGGTCATTATAAATCATTTAAAAATAGTAAAACCAAAATTAGAGGGACTAAACTAAATAAAAATTTCTCTAACATTCCAAACACTTATTGTAGTATTTCACATAGGTATAAATTATTTTGTTAATTATTATTCAACTTGGTCATGTTATTTTTAAAATGTTCAATATGGCCTCATTATTTTTAAAATGTTCAATTTAGTCTCCAAATTATTTAAAAATGTTCAATATTTTTCTTTTGTCTAATTTTATTAACGTTATTAGTGTCAATTTGGATAAAATGACAACATTAAATATTTTTAAAATTAAATGACTAAATTGAATTGTTTAAAATATTAGATTAAATTAAATCTTAAAAATAAATATAGAGACAAAAATATAATTTAGCCTTAAGTAAAAAGTACTTATTTACTCCTTCCACCACTATGTGTACATCAATTAATGTATAATTAAAAAAATAAGAAAACAAACTAATTAATATAGTCAAAATACACTAAATTTATGAACTAAAAAAAATACATTAAAATAATTAAATCTACCTTATACTCCCTCTAACTCTTATTACAAGGCACTTTTAATCAAATTCATTAGTTGATATTATTGGTTTATACAATAAAATAATAAGTTACCAATTTTACCCTTTTTAATTATCATAAATTTTCATGAGGTAGATATATTATCCATGTAAAGGCTTACACACCAATTCCAATAAAAATAAAAAATGACGATTAGAGAGTTTAAAAGATGAGAGAGAGAAATATGTACTCTCACAATCTTTAATATGGATAAAAAACATGAAAAATAGAATTAATGTTTTATAAGAATTATAAAGTATCTTATAAAAAGTATATACAATTTCTTATAAATTGTGCCTTATAATAAGAATTGTAAGAAGTAGTAAGTAGTAACAATTAAAGTTTCATTAATACATTTCTTTATTAATTCTTATGAACACATTCAACAATTATTACATAATTAAAATAAATAAATAAAATATTTAAGAATAGAATAATTATATTTATTAAGAAAATTAAATCAAATAATCAAAAAGAAACTAGTAATTGCTATTTTCTTTTAATAACCATTTACTTCCATTATCTTTTATTTTATTTTAGTTTTTAAAAGTGATATTAAGAGGCACCTCTTTTTCTCCTAGTTATTAATAAAGAAGATATTTTGTGTCTACTTTTATGTGAATATATTTTCACTTATTAATATTTCATAATTTTCTATTTTTAAATTGCTTTTAAATAATTGTTTTATTTCTATAATTATCTAAAATAGCTTAAATCCTCTTATTATTAACTTTTTACTCACACTTAACTTCGATTACTTTAAAAAGAAAATACACGAGAAGGTGACTTTTTAAATAGTATATATAAATATTTATCTTTTATATTTTTTTCTTTTTGTATTTCTCCTCGAATCCGAATAACTTTAAGTGTATGTAATTCCATTAAATATTATGTGTTATCCACGTTAACGCTGCTTGATTTTAGTAACATACATGCAATATTTCATAATATAAAAAATAGAGCATAGGTGTATGAAATCATTGAGTTCTATGTAATGTCACAATGGTTAGAACTTTTGCTTTCTCACAGTTTTTTAATGAGGGTTTTCATACAAAAAGATTTGATTCAAAAAGCATTACCTTTTTTTGTGGGTTCACCAGTGCAAAATATTACTGAACAATACAGGAAAAGGCCGAAGCTAAACCCCCAACATCATGTGGAACAAGACATGCATTCAGAAGAATATACCATGACTGGGCCGTGTAAGCTCAGGACATGCATTTGTTAGTTCACCGGTGAGAAAAATTGGAATTGAGTTTCAGAAAGAAAAAAAAAATAGAATAGAATCCATAACAAGCACAGAGAAACAGGTTGGATTAGATCCACTAGATGTAATTTGGACATTTGTTTGGTCAACTATCTGGATTGGTTCAAATCAGGTCATCAAATTATTTAGTTTTAGTAGAATTTACTCATTAAAAAACAAAAGATAGATTAAAAAAATTAAAAATTAAAAGTATGGACAATGTGAGACTCAACAATCAACAGAAGGATAGAAATAAAAATTGCAAACATACGACCTTGGTGGCATTAGCTAGCAGCGATGACCCCAAAGCATGATGGAAGAGGTTATCAGTACTGATCTTTTAAGGCAGAAAAGAAAGCAACCAAGTAGAAGGAACGAATATGAGCAGCGTTTGGTTTGGGAATCGGCAATTTGGATTTTAATTTAGGTTTCAACTTTTAGTCGAGACAAAAGATGAAATAAAACTCGTGTACACGAACTGGCCTAATAAAGACATCATCATGTTCACCCATTTTAATTTTTGTTGAAATGTTTATCTCCCAGATCTGAATCCCTCCTCTACTAGAACAAAACTCTGTCCCGTCCCAGAAGCAAACGGCATGGCAATTGGCAAGGCCTTCCAGAATCAGAGAAAAGGTGAAAATGCGTGTTCCGCATTTGAACTGCCTGAGACGAAAGGCTAACTTGATAGATGGTCCAGACTAATAGCTAATGGTGAAAGACATGCTTTGGATTCAAGTACTTCGAGCTTTCAATTGAATAAAATAGAATAGGGCTTACATATGCCGCATCAACAAATTGATTAACGACAAAAAGGTAATGCAGTTTCTAGTAAGGCCCAAAGAGACAATTCTACATGGAAGAATTACAGTTATTCTTCAATTCTTTTGAAGTAGCCAATAAATCAGCTGATAAACTCGCTGGATTGAACCTGATTTGTAATTCGGGAGAAACAATGCTTGCTACTGAGAGGATGTTACCGTAGAGTGATACCCGAATCCAGAGTAGTAATGGGGTGTGAATAATAGCATTTCGCGAGCACACGTCAAACATTAACACTTGTAGAAGTTTCATAACATTTAAATTTAAAAATATGAATGTTAATTTTCTAAGCGTTAACCATTAGACTGGCCTTGTTGGATTATGATGGTTTCTATTTTAATAATCTAAATCTCAGTAATTGTAATTGTAATTGTACAGTGTAATTTTTCCACTATGCCAACAAAAGATACATACCCAATATTTTGGTGCAATTGTGATTAATCCGTTCGTATAAGCGATTGAAAAACGTCGTATATTTTAAGTTTAAATCACTTGGAAACTTGCGGCAATATCATTTGCATGGTCTCGGTTTTTTATTCAACAATAACAATGAAGGTCACAAAGTTCAGCTAGATAGAGATGCCCCATTAAGCAATTTGCAGAACTAACACGTCTCAGAAGCAACATATCAAGTTCCAAACAACAAAGCAAGAACTGGCAGCAACAGCGACCACAACTAACCAAAAGTGGTTGCTAAAAATGCGTGAGGAAATGAATGAGGTAATTGCTCATGTATGACTACTACTCACTACCGATGAGAACAGACAGCAACATCATACATAATGCGTAAGTACTAATCTCAATCAAGTCCACTAATGAGCAAAGCAAATCCAAGAAAACAGTATAAAAAAACGTGATGAAAAAAGACAGCCACTATGAAACAAGCAGATCAGGGAGTGTTTCAATATTGGAAAGTGAAGATTTGACGGGACACAACGTAGTGGTTCTAAAAGAAACGACCAGTGATCATGCAAAAAGTAGTGCCTAAATTTAAGAGATGTACGCTTAGAGGATGTACACAGTAAAAATTTTCCACTATTAATTATGGATTTTTGATACGAGAAAAAATTGGATTTCAGGGGAGTGTAGTTAAAACAGAAGAATTGTTCGATATTACAAACATAAGGTGACATAATCTTTTCTTCCTTTCCCCCAGTTCCCAAAACATAATATGCCAGAGACAAATAGTATCACATCAACTGCAATCTGAATGATAGAACAACATTGATCTCAACAGGACAAAAAGAAAGAAGCAGAAGCGAAAAGTATGGCTGCAAACTTAACTGCAACACAACACAACCACCACCAACTTAGCTATTCGTCAATAAAACTGCGGAACATTCTTTAATCATAATGCAATTTCATTCTCTGGCCATAAACACGAATCAGTAATATAAGGGACAACCGTCAATCTCAGTTCCCAATACACAACTAACGTCACCATTAAGGATATGAAAGTTAAACTGGGAGAAGTAACATAATAATATAATAATAATGGTAGCCAACGATAATAACAATAATAATAATAATGACATGACAATGATAATAATTAGCTAATAGCAGTACATTACAGAACAAAACCAAAAATAAAACCTGCCTCATCCAACATTATCGAAGAGCGACCAAAAATTCGATCAGCAGTTGAATCAGTTCTGGTTGTCGTTCTTCCTCCCTGTCCCTTCCCCGTCCTTCTGTTCCAACAACCTCCCAGCCTCTTCATCACCCTGCTGAGCCTTCTTCTGCGCCTCAGAAGCCTTCAGAGCCTGCAACTTACAGTGATTATAGTACGCAACCCCCAAAAACGCCAACCCATAGCCAATCAAATTAATGGGGGTCACGGTGTCCTTTATCACCGACCAAGAGAACGCAATCAAGAGCCAATCCTTGACCACCCCTGCAACATTCATAGTCAAAGCCGAAGTCTTTCCCACCAGCAAGAAAACTGCAAGGTTCAAAGCAAAAGCACAAGCCGAATTGGTCCCGAAAATCGCGAAATCCAAATGGAAGCTGGAGTTATCCCTCAATGAAGGGTACTCCATGATAATCCAAGGCACGGAGAGGAAGACCAAACAACAAGGGGCAATATAGTAAAGCGAGGTAATAGGGTTCAACGAAATCCCCTTCGAATTGAGCAAAATTTGGATGAGAACCAAGCGAGTGGCCTCAAACGCAACCGCGAGAAGCTGCAGAGTGACACCCCAAGCATCGAATTTCGCCTCGCCATAAGCAGCAACAGCAACCCCGAGCGAGATGGAAACCATGTTCGCCATGGTCTCGTTCTTAAAGGTCTCTTTTTTAAACATGACCCCAATGGAATAAACAGCCACAGGCATAAGCGCCTTAAGCATCTGAATGAAGGAGACAGAGAGGTAGATATACGCTGAATTCGAAAACCAGAGTGAAAGGGAATAGAGTGCACCAATCGGAACCACGGATTTGAGGTACAGATCGCGAGACATTTGAACGGGTTCAACGAGCTTCAAGACGCGAACGAGAATGTATGCGAGGGAAGAGCAAAAAGCCATGTGGATCATGGTGAGCGAGATCGGGTATGGCCAGTTGTACATCTTCCGATCCAGAATGTACTTGTTGTACACGATGACCGTGAAGCTGAGGAAGATCCATATCGCCACGTAGGTGTAGGAGAGGACGATTTTCTTCACCACGCCGTCGGAGACCGCCATTGCCTGTGCTAGTTCCAACCCTAACCCTAACCCTAACTGTGCTGTGTGATGGTTGTTCGGTATTTTAAGAGCGTGGAATAGGCAGATCTGGCGCAATTTCAGGTGATCAGCATTCAATGCTTTTGGATCTCTCTCCTTCAAATCTCAAACCAGGTTTGGTGATTAAAAGGAAACTCTAACACAATCGCAAACTTACTATTAACTATTTTATATTCAAGAGAGAGAGAGCTTCACTTTGAGTAGACACTAATTAACGATTATTATTATTATACAACAACAACAACGTGTCACTTTCTAATGGACTTGGGCTATTTGATGGGCTTTCCCTGTTTGATATCCAATACCAACTAAGTCATTTGTTTTAGGTGGCGTTTGGTTGGGTTGTTTCCATTCTAGGGGCTTACTTGCAAAAATAATATGTTGTTATCATTGTTATGTTGGTAATTGGTGTTCCTATTCCACACTCTTGTGTTTTTTTCCTTCTAATTCAGATGCCACCGAATTGATTTTAAACGCTAAATTACGGGTGGAAGCCATTTTGGCCTTCCAATTGGACCAATCATTTCAAGAGGAGTGTGAGGAAGCAAGACCAACACTTGGTCTAAATTGTAACGCTCAATGAGGTTAGCAAGTTAGGCATGGGATGATGGAACAAGGACGACAAAATAAACAAGTGGCGTGTCACGTGGAGGAATTAAGTTTGGAACTTGGGAATGGAAACAGCCTCTCATTTTTGGCGTGTTTGAAGAAATTTTTCACATGGGATGGCTGACTTTGGGGGCACTTTTGACCTGTGCGAGGACAATTAAGGTTTAAGGATTCACATGAATCGCGATCCTTCTTGCCCTTTGCTCAGATTGCACTCTAAGAGTGTACTCCCCAAAAAATGTAACTTACTTAACGTTTTCATTTGTTATAGTATATTCTGATCACTTTAAAACCTGAATTGGGGGATAACATGTCAGAGAAAACTCTCATGCACGCATAATGCATTATTGCCTTCCTTGAAATGAGGTGCTCAAATTACATAATGACAAACTACTCCTTTAAGCCTTACTTTTGCATATAGACCAGCCAAAGAAGAAAATTAAATCTTACCTTTGCATGTCCCCACCCACTGTGTTACTATTTTATTATGGAATATTAGTTTTTCTTAAAATTATTAAATACATCAAAAAATAAAACAAAATACTACATGTTATTCTAAAAATGATTAATGATATAATTACAATATTAAGTATGAAATAAATTATATTATTCATAATTCTTGACAAAAATTAATCATTGTATCCAATAATAAATATTTTGTATTATTATCATGATTATAAAAAAATTATTAAAGATGACACAAATCAGATGATATTATATCATATTTTTTTTCCTTTATACCAAATCAATTATTTCTTAACGAGGTAACGTTTTAATTTAGTTTATTTGATTTATTTTAATATAATTAATATTTTAGAAGATTACATTTATTATAACGTTGAAATTTTAACGTTAAACACAACTTGACATTAAATATATGATATGATAATCAATATTTAATTTAATTACATTTTTTAATTTTTATTTGTATTTTATTTTCATCTCATTTAATTACTTTTATAAGATAAAAAAATGAAACAAAAGCAGAGTTTAGGTCAAATATTACTAACTATTAATTATCATGTCATTATAATGTTAATGATGAAGAATAAAAATTCTATAAAAGAATATGTTAAAATTACTAGTACTTTTTTTCTAACTAGTTTCAATAAAAAAAAAATTGTCATGTTTGACTATTTAACATAGTTATATGTTAAAATTTTGAATTTGAAATTACTAATTATGTTAAAACAATGGTTGATGCATGCACTCAATGAATCCTAAATTAAAATTTAATTGTTCTTTAAGCTATATAACGATATTTTAACTTATGTGATGCACAAGTTAAATATTTATTATATAACTGAAATTTATAATAAATATATATATAAATAAATATTATATTTGACTATATAAATTAATATTTTTAAATAAATTATATTAAATTTTTGATAAATAATTTATATTTTAGCATGATATTATCTTTATTTATTGATAATGTATTAAAAATATATCAAAAGTTAATGTATAAATAAATATGATATATAAAATTCGAATTAGATAAAAAAATTAAAAATTTTCTAAAAATTATCTCATAAGAAAAATCTCTGAAAACTCTCTCATGCAAGATATATATTTGTTTAATATATAGAAATTGATTTTAATTTGTATAACATTTTTTAAATAACTAAATTATTAATTCACCTTTATATATCAACTCATATATTAAACATGGACTTTTATCTTATCTAAAAGCGTTTTTAGGAGTTTTAATAAGAATTCGTAAAAAAAAAATTTAACTTCTTATCTAACTAGTATTTTAACTTGTTTAATGCACAAATTACATATTTATTATATGTAACTAAAATTTATAAAAAAAATAGTATATTCAAATAAATAGTACATTTGAATATATAAATTATATTTAAATTTTTTATAAATATATAGCTTTAAATATATAAAATATTTTTAGATTTATGATAAATAGTTTATATAGTAATACACTGTTATTTTTATTTATTGATAAAATTTAATTCATAATAATGATGATAAATAAAAACAAAATTAAATAAGAAGATAAAAAATATTCTTAAAAATCTTCTTGTCGAAGAAAAACTTCTAAAAATATTATAATTCAACATCAAAGTCCATTTTTAATATGGAATATGTAAAGGTTGATTCAACATTTATTTATCATAATTATTTATAAATTAAATATTAATAATTTAAAAGAAATATTAATAAATAAAAATATTTTTTATCACAATAAAAATTACTTATTATAAATCTAAAATATATTTTATATATTTAAAATATTTGTGTATATTAATTTTAAATATAACTTATATATTCAAACATAATATAATATATATATATATAATTTATTATAAATTCTAATTATACATAATAAACATACATGTGCATTGTATAGATTAAAATATTAATTAAATATAATTAATTATTTTAGACAGATGACACTTTTACTTTCTAAAATATTTTTTATCGAAAGTATTTTTAGGAGTTTTCATTTAATAAGTGAATTTTTAAAAATTATTTTAGCTTTTTAATTCATCATTTTATTTATACATTAAATTTAAATATAATATTTATTTATATTGATAATTTTTTATAATTTTTAGTTGCATGATAAATATTTAGTATGTAATATATATACTAAAATAATAATTATTTTAAAATTTTTCATCAAAATGTCAATTAGTATACTCTCAGAAAAAAATTACAATCAGAATATTTTTTACTGGAATTTTTTTTTTCCAAATCTCATACGATTAAATTTTTAAATTATCATATAATTAAATACTTTGACATATTTTTGTATTATGGTGAAAAAAAACAACAGAAGACTATTACTGCAAAACAATTTTTTTTTACAGCTTACCACAAAATATATTAAAAATTTGTTTGATGATGAAGATATCATAAAATATGGTAGTCAAATAAATTTTAATTTCCGTCCAATATTTAGTTAGATAACAAACTTGAAAAAGTATAATTATCTTATATTGTATTTAACACCAACTCCTTCACTTTAAATATGATAAATTTTAGTTATATATAATAAATATTTAATTTATGAAATAATTAATTATATAATAATAAAATAACATATAAATTACATTTAAATATATTTCGAATTATTTCAATTACGACCTTATTTTGTTTTAGTTATCATAAAAAATATTGTAATTTTTAGATTTTGTTATTTTTTTAATATTCATCTTTGTTCCTTATCATTAATTTTATTTAGTTTAGCACTGACATGATTAACAAAATGAATTATATTAAATAAGATAATTGGGATAACAAAGAATATTTTAAATTACGATAATTATATATTTTTAAGGAATAATTTAATTAAGTAATATATATTTTTATATAAATAAGATAATTTTATTTTTAGTTTCTATAAATAAAATTGTTTTTCATCTTTTTATATTTGGAACTTTGTTTTTATTTCTATTATTATATGTCAAATTTTAATTGTTTATATGTTTATTAAAAAGTTGAGTGATCATCTTAGGTAATACTTGTTAAGATATAAATAAAAGTCTCGTATCATTAGATCACGAGGAGAAATAAAGGTTTATAAAAGCGTATATAATCTCCATTAGTATAACACCTCTTAAAAGATGACTAAAAGCAAAATCATGAATGTTTAGACCCAAAATAGATAATATCGTACCAATATAGTTACGTGTGTGTGAAACTCGGTGTCCAACAATGATATCAGAGTTGATGGTTTTGACCAAATGACTGACTTAAAGTCTCAAACGAGTATTTGACCATGGGAAGCGGTAGGCCCAAGTGTAGGATCTCTTATGTAGAAAGTCTTCCTAATGGTGTAGAGGTTAGACAATGTGTCCTGTTGATGTGAGCTAATAACGTTGTAAGTATCTAGAACTAGATAAGTGTGACTAAAGCTCTAAAGACCTCATTTGTAACATGTCTTGGTCTCCATACAATACAACATAACAACTGGTAGCGAAAAACATCTAACTTAAGACTATAGAATTATATATAGAAGAAGCATATACTATATTGCATACATATAAAGGCGACTAACTAAGAAAATATGTGTAATATAAATACAATAATCTAATAAATGTAAACTATATATATATACACACATCTATTCTCATTAGACAATCAACAAAACATCTTCCGGCTCATGCACCATTGAGTGGCCTCCACAACAACACTTCGGTCCAATCCTTTATATCCTACTTGCATACCATGTATGATTATCACAATCAACACCATATGAGAACATGCAAGGATAAGCTAGAGTAAAAAAATAACATATATACAACACAGGAACATCACATCATCATCTCATCTTTAACAACACAACAAGGCATCAAGGTATACAAAACAAATCAACACAACAACTATAGTTAAACACAACAACCCATTTCAGCATAGATTAACACAACATATGAATAACATAATCAACTCAACACAACAATTATATGCGTTATCACGCATTTCAACTAGAATATCCCCTACAACACAAGGTGAATAGTTTAAGTGATTTGACCTTACCGAACCGACAACATAGCGTGATCTTTTTGGGCTTGTTAGATCAACAACAAATTGGATAAAAATCCACAACACAACAACTCGATTTCT